AGTTCTTCCTCATGTTCAGCTGGAGCTTCCTCTGCTTCAGTTTGTGCCCGTTGCCCCTTGTCCTGTCACTGGGCACCACTGGAAGGAGTCTGGCCCCATCCTCCTGACCCCCACCCTGCAGATTTTAGAGGCATTTCTAAGGTCCCCTCTCAGCCTTCTCTTCTCCAGGCTGAACCAGCCCAGCTCCCTCAGCCTTTCCTCGTAGGACAGATGCTCCAGTCCCCTCCTCATCCTCGTAGCTCTGACACTAAACACTCACCCTATGGCCCCCTTCAGTAGATGGGAGCAACCCAGCCCTGCCCCAGTGAGGGGAAGCGCGACGGGGATGAGCTGAACTGAGCTGCCAGGGCTGCGCAGGGACCCGCAGCAACACCTGGCTCAGCCCCGGGCAGAGCTCAGCAATGGCCCCGCCCCCCCGCCGCCACGGGCACCACGTCGAGGTTTGCAAGCTCTAGATCCAGTTTCTCTGGGCGATGCACGGACTCTCATAAAGCACAATCCCTGCCCTGATGGGTAACTGGGCGATTCCTAATCCAGCGTGTCCCAGAGGAGGGGCAGGCTCTCAGCTCGGTGATGCTCAGCCCCAGTGCTAAGCAAAACCCAGTAATTATATTTACATCAGACATAAATTAAGCAGCAAAAAAGTCACATTTTCAGAACCGCCTACATCACTTAGGAGATGCCCCTGCAAGCACAGGTTTTAAAAGCATCACCGAGATGTAGTGCCCAATTTGTATTTAAAGGTAATGGTGTTAGGTACTTCATCATCTAAGCCTTTACAACCTCCACCCCCAAGGGTTCATAAGTCTTAGAACACTTTAGAAAATTCAACCTATAATAAATACCAATTAACAATAATAATTCTAGCGCTCAGATCTACAGGTGCTGATTGCTAACAGCTCCCACTGAAGTCAGCCCCATGGGATCAGGACAGTGTGAAACGCTGGAATATCAAACAGCCTTTGCATATTTTACAGGCTGTCTCTTTCAAGATGGGTATTAATTACATACAAATACACTTAGGTGTAAAACTGTGCTCAAACTGCAACACTCGACATCTCTATGTTATACAGCATGGAGCAGCGGAGCACATCTGTTTGCAAAACTGGGCTTTATTTCTTTTCTAAACGCAGTTCTTT